AATGGTTAACAAACGAATTAAGAATAAAATCTTTAAAAAACTTACGCAGATTCAATCGATTTTTCAGTCTCCGCCATTTACAACAAGTTCATCAGGTGTCACGGCTTCTGATAAAACATATCTTGGATATCTCGCGCGAGCAATTAATTCTCTGTGGTCGTTCACGTCCTATCCAGCTGTGGATGTAGTTTTTCCAAATAAAGAGTTAACCTGTTATCCTATTTTTCAATTTTTCAGTGCTACTGAGTGGTTGATCTCTCTTTTTTTTCGTTTTAGAACTTTTTAAGTTAATTTAGTTAGTTATATGAACTGTTCTTTTGTTTCAGAGCTGTCACCAGACCCGTAATTGCAGATAAAGTGTCAAGGACGGAACTCGTTAATCGCACTCGCGGTTTGGTTTCAAGCTTTCTTCTTGCTGAAACGTCTGTTGCAAAATTATCTAAAGTTGAAGAGTTGAATCATCATTTCACTGAATTTCCTTCCAGTCGAATTATAGCTTTAAAAGTACGTTTATTTCTGTTGCTAACTGCTGAGTTTAAATGGATAATTGCTAATAGAAACATCTGGATGTTTTAAATTATTTGTTGTTTTCGTTTAAGTGCAACGAGCTTCTAATTTTTTCAGAACTCTCATTTCGTTTGCACCTTATTGCGAATCTCAGAAAGGAGCAGTAATGAGAAGTTGAAGGAAAGGTCACGTCAGTGTTTGTCGATCTTAGGATATGTTGACGATCCAAAGGGAGCAGGGATAAGAATACTTTCGATCGATGGAGGTGGAACACGAGGAATGATGTGTTTGGAAGTTTTGCAAGTTTTAGAAAACAGCTTGTGCGGGCCTAAGGTGCCTTCGCCATTTTTATGATTTTTATCTCTACATTTTACATGGTTTAGTTTTCGAAAGTTGGTTTATATATTTTAAAAAACAATAACTGTATTAGCATTTTTAGCGACTTATACTTTTAACCACTTCTTATCTGCCAAAGTAGTTTTTCAGCTTTCGGATGTATTTGATTATATTATTGGAGTAAGTACTGGGGCTATTATTGCTGTCCTGATAACAGCTAAAGGATTTTCAATCAAAACTTGTAAGGAGTATTATATGCAAATGTCAAAGGATCTCTTTAATCAAGGACGATTGTCTGGTGTTAGTGGTCTTTTGACATCACATTCTTATTACAACACTAAAAAGTGGGTTCGTCTTCTCAAACAGGTATTTTATTTTTACAGCATTTGTACGGTCGTTTAATTTTATATCAAGTTCAGTTGCCGCTTTCATAAGTCTCTGTTTGCTCGTTTGCTTTTAATTTTTATAATTTCTTTTTATTTTATTTTTAACTTCTGGTTTAGGTAGTTGGTGAAGATTCTGCGCTGATGGACAGTTGCTGCCGTAAAGGAGCTCCAAAACTGGGTGTTGTTTCTTCTATAGCCAACACACCAGCTCTGCAACCATATATCTTTAGGAATTACGATCTTTTACCGGGACGAGAAAGCCATTTCAAAGGTGGATGTGATTTTCTGCTTTGGCAAGCAATACAAGCGTCAGCTGCAGCTCCTGGTTACTTTGAAGAAGTACGTTTCAAAGTTATATGGTTCCTATGATGTTTGACAAATTAATTGAAGTTTTTATCGTATATACGTATTATGTTAATTATATTCCTTTTAAATCGCTCTATTATATGGTAACAGAATTTTTGAAAAGGTGGCTCTTGGTCCCATCCTGCATCAAGATGGAGGGATTTTAGCCAACAATCCAACTGCTCTCGCTTTGCACGAGGCAAGGCTCTTGTGGCCTAATGAAAGGATTCTTTGCGTTGTGTCTATAGGAAGTGGACGTAGTGTAGTACCAATGGAACCAACAGAGCTGAAGTATATTTTACTCATGACATTTTAGATTTATTCAATTTGCCTTTACTTAATACTTTTTTACAATACTTTTTAAAGGTTCACAACATGCATTTTTTAGGTTAGCCACCGGCTTACAAGACAAAATTACTCGTATTGTCGATTCAGCCACTGATACAGAACTGGTTCACTTAGCAATGCAAGATCTGCTTCCAGCTGACTCCTATTTTCGTTTCAATCCTTACATGAGCTCCAACTACAGTTTGGACGAAGTGGATTCAGAGAAGTATGTAATTTATTTGATACGTAACTATTACACCGTCTCCGCATGTTCGTAAGTAGTTCAGATTTGAATTGGATAATTTTTACCTCATACTGGATCATTAGAATTTTCACTGGTGATATGAAACAGAAATTACAAAGGGGGTTCTACGTTCTACGTTTTTTTTTTT